TTTATCACAAAATAATCTAATAATTTGATTCCATCGTTTCTATTGAGTAAAACAAGGAAAAGTCACAGATATAGCCTTCGATAAAATTGGAAAGTATAGTTTTTAACACAGATCAGTTATTTATAATCTAAACGATGAAACTCTTATTACACTCTTCAAACAATAGTTACAATAAGCAATTAAAACGAAATTGCTTTTTGACGGCGACTCATTAAAGATATTTTTGCGAAATGGCAGATTGATAAGCATTGCCGTGATAAAATCTTTTCGTATGACATAAAAGGGGCGCGAGATACACCGATTACACACATGAGCAGGAGCCGACAAAGTGGCAGACACAAACTGGAGCAAAGATAAGAGCAGTTAATGAGCCCCTGTGGCCAGTCACGATGCGGATATCCCGAGAGTATACCAAAAGACTAAATGAGGCACAGAGACAAAGCTTCATACAAAAGGTTTTTTCACAAGTTTATTTAAAAGAGGTTCATACCGTAATTATTACTGTATAGTGACTCCGTTAAAAGTAGATATTAATAATCACATTGCGTATATTAGTAAATTTTTTAAATATTAATTCTGTTTTCAAATATTTCGTGGAAACGTTTCTCTAACAAATGTGGCATGCTAACAGGCAAGTTAACACGAGTCTCATAAAACGTTAAACAGTTCAAATCAATGTCAGTTCGACGGTATGTTTACAAGTAGGTGACGTCTTCTTAAGCTTCGCCAATCCTTGGCACATTCGTAGTTCACGTGACAGTAGATCAAAAAATACTTTTATATATCATGATTTTTATTAATATTATCAACTAGTTTTTTTGTCAGAACGGTGAAATCGCTTCCAATATTCATGTAAATTACACATGCCAATAATTGTTACTTGAATTTTCATACTATCAAATAGCTTATTGTGCGTATGTGTTTGTGCACAAGCGCCTGTCGCGTACGCAGAGAACATACGTACGTTCTTTAAGTGACGACAGGTCGCCAGTGCTCACTTCCATACGTGCTCTGTATAAGGTTTACCTCTATACCTTCTTTACTCATGCGGTTGTACTAATTGCGAAGAGTATACCAGACTAACAAAAAAGGTTTTCGTCATTGTACGTATATACAGGCAGTACTTACCGATTCACATTGCGGGCTTTGTCTGCTTCTATGACGTGATTTGTTGAAACATTTTGCCTCCACCATCGTTGCATGGCTTTTTTTAATATTATCCAAATAAACGATATAATAATCTATGTGATAACTACAAAATCGCAAAGATGAAGTTTATCATGAAAAGAACGTAATATCTTAGTTTCTGGACAATTACATTATATAATATAGAATCTTGGGAACGCTAACGTGAACCCTGGTGAAACTCAATAAATATACCAATTTTCAAGAAAAAATAACTTGCATTGTCATGCAAGATACGTTATAAATAGTCCAACTGTGTAATTTCAACGCCATAAATATATAGACGTTGCATTTTAACGTAAATTCTATAGCATTAGTATATTCTATTAACAATATACCTAGATGTCTAAAACCTTTAACTTAACGTTTGATAACATATCAGCTTATGCCTCTCACACACCTGCGCGACGAAACTTTGACTACTTATTACGCTAAAATTTGTGTCGAAATTTTCAGCGCTAATCTGTGGTTGTACTCTCCTTCACCGGCACCATCAATTTTATCGATTCCCAAAACCTTAACCTAAAGCTATCGTTACGCAGCTCATTAGATCGTGTACGATTGTCGCTACGTATTGACTTCCCACACTTGCGTACATGGCGATCATAGGTGAAGCTTCGTAGCAATAGACGCAGGTGTATAAGAGGCTTTAGATAAATAATTGGTATCCCTGCGGTCGACCACGGGGAGACTAATTTATTTAACTAAGCATATTATGTTTAAATCTGAAATATTGCAGTGACAGGAATTAGCTTTGGTTGATTGACATCAACTCATACTGTTATCATAAATTTTTGATCTATGAATGTGCCAATAGTAGCACAATGCCTTCTGTATTTTTTGAAACTTATATAAAAAAGATAAATCGTTTTTTATCTTTTGTGAATCAATTTTATAAACAAATCTGAACTTAGCATTGTCGCTAAGACTTAAGAGAGACTTAACTTCAGAGATGGCGATGCATGGGTTTTAAAATATTCCCACATCAAAGCTTATTACTACGACTTCATTTGATATTACCATAAAAAATAAGCATGCTCTTAATTTATAAAATTATTATTGTTGTTTTCGGAGAGCAGCATTCTCTTAGCCCTCAGCTTTCAGTTGTCCAGTGATTGCGTTATTCCCTTCGCTTCGTGTATCGTGTCATTTTGCTCTGATTTCACACAATTACGTCTTGCAAACTGACAGGCTATCGGGTACACTATAATGACCACCATCATATTATGATCCTTATAAGTCGCGTCGGCGAAATAAGAGGTAGAACGAGTAATATCTTCATCCAATAATCACACTCAACGGGGGCTTTATCCATTCGACACTGAATAAATAAGTTATTAATAATATTATACAGTACGCACCAGGCCAGAAATATTATGATTGAGAAAGTTTTCTGGACGAAATAAATTAGTAGATAGTATCTTAAAATAAACTGTTTTAAAATTCTGATAGAGGAAATATCAAACTTTATGAATTCAAAATGTAAGGTGATTAATTAGTAGTGTACAGTATAGATTGACTGTGATAGTAACTCCAAATTCTACTTAGCTAAGGATTGAAAATTTTGAATGATATCATTATGTTACTCAATTTCATATGGTAAATATAAAGGTTTCTGAATTAAAGCCGCATTTGGTTGCAGCAACAACATAAATAAAATTTACAGCGTTGCAGTTTTTACGTAAATCTTTAATGGCTTATTTTAACTACCTATCTCCATGTTATCGAAACGATTTATTTTTATTTATTTCCTTTTTAAACGTATACTAAATGTTCCTTTCATTTTAAACGCCGTTCACCACGTACGTATTACAAGAATTAATAAAACTGCGTTTGTGCCACAAATCATGTCCTTAAACGTTTTACCAACTCATACATTAATGTATAACATACAAATATTATAAGCTTTACAATGTAATTCATTCGTGTGACCCCGACTACGTATATCTAGTTTATGCTGTTAAATTATTAATTAATGGGCAGTTTATAGTTAAACATCATCTATACATTATCTCTATATCACATATAATAATATGTGATTAATAAACTACATTTAAAGAAGAGTTCAGTGTTCGCCTTGCATTTTTATCGTACCTACCTTATTGTTATTATTTATTGTTGATGCTTCCTAGCTTTATTATCCTACTTATATTATTAATTGTAAATGTTTGTATGTTTGTTAACGCAGAATCTACTGAACGGATTTGGATTAAAGAATTCTCAAAAACCAAAGTTAACGCGGACGAAGTCACGGGCGGCCGCTAGTGTTTAATAATTCTGCTCAAGTGAACAAACTCTTGCGATAATGTTACCATCGCCTTCAGCGAATGTATCTATTATAAAAAACGTATTTAACTTTATGTCAGTAGAAATCGTAAGGTCTGTAAATATTAACCTGCTTATTAAGCAGTTTTCAATATAGTGACAGCAAAATCGGAGAAGTACACAGTTATCAATAGGTTGCAGGATGTTTTGCTTCTGATAATTAACGGATCATTGCCAGGCAGCTTCATTTGCCTTACGTTGGTTGTGCCAAGTATCGATTCGCGTTTCTACTTAAGCCGCTCAGCCGTACGTAAGGTAGTGCCTAGATTTGTAGCTACTTCTAATGAAGATGCGGCTTACATTTTTTGAAAAAACCAACCTTTAAATACTGTTCATAAGATTGCATATAAGCTTAATTAAACTACAAACATCTATGATGAACATGTTATGGTCAAACATAGACATACTGGGCTCAAATTAGAAAACCACTTAAAGAAAGTTTGTCGCGATGCTTCCCGGACACAATCGTCGTTAAATATTTGCATTATGTCTCTACGACACCTGCGTCTACAGCCACGAAGCTTCGTCCATAATCGTGATAAACGCTGTAGGAGGAGGTCATCAGCAGCAATCGTTACGAACTATCGAGCTGCTTGACGATAGACGCCGATACCTTGGCTCGCTGTTTTTAGACACACATCAAAGGTTTTGGGGGACGATAAGTTTGTGTGTGCAAATGTATAACGTACAACCAGCTGAGCACCGAAATGTTGGCGCTAATTTTAGCGCAATAAGTAGCCAAAGCTTTGTCGCGCAGGTGTGGGAGAGGCATTTGACGATGTAAATAGAGATTGAAATGTTCCCTACTTCCCTGGTGCAGAAAATGTGAGGATTTAGTTGTACTCTATTATTTTTCAATTTTCATTTTTAAGTATTATAAACTGGTTGATTTATAAATTTACTCGGTCCAACCCCTGGCATGAGCAATGTGCAACCAGCAGCAATCGTTACGAACTATCGAGCTGCTTGACGATAGACGCCGATACCTTGGCTCGCTGTTTTTAGACACACATCAAAGGTTTTGGGGGACGATAAGTTTGTGTGTGCAAATGTATAACGTACAACCAGCTGAGCACCGAAATGTTGGCGCTAATTTTAGCGCAATAAGTAGCCAAAGCTTTGTCGCGCAGGTGTGGGAGAGGCATTTGACGATGTAAATAGAGATTGAAATGTTCCATACTTCCCTGGTGCAGAAAATGTGAGGATTTAGTTGTACTCTATTATTTTTCAATTTTCATTTTTAAGTATTATAAACTGGTTGATTTATAAATTTACTCGGTCCAACCCCTGGCATGAGCACCACGATATGATATATAAACACGCTTTTATCACACTCAATTATCAAATTACTATGGAGTTTGACAGTTAGAAGCGATAAAATTATGAAATAACGTACATTGTGGTGTTCTTGCTACGAGGACTGGTGTTAGGAAGGATCCAGCCTGTAATATATTATAACCTGTATTATATGAAACTACTGTTTTCTGCAGGCAGTCGACTTACGCGCAAGTCACCTGCGTCGTACGCCGATGGCGTGTACATGATGGCGGGTGCCGACCGCCCTGGGGCTCGAGCACTCTCCAAACTGTTCATGAAAGGGCCAGATGGACTTCCTTCGTTGGCCAATAGAACTGCACTACTTGCTTTTTTTGGTAAGACAAATAGCTCTCTTGTTCCACAATTGTTTAGAGTAGAAGAGAAAGAGCAGTGAACAATATTCATTTATTTGTCAAATTAGATGTTGTTGTACCGATTCTGCTTAAATGACAACTCCTGAATTAAGCGTATTTCCTAGAGTCACAAAAGATTATTTAAGTAGATAACAAACTTTCGAAGCGAGAATAAGTTTTTTCTGGTCGCCGAGTAAGGATTTGAAGCAGGAGAAAGTGTGACAGTCCAACCTTCACTCTATTAGTAGGTAGGTAATTTGGTTAGACAATTATAATATCATGTCAGATTTTTAAGAACTTATCGAGTTTCAACTGTAAATGCCCAATCCCCTATTTCAATCTTTTGAATCTTAATTCTGATAGTTACCATTTCGTGAGATGTCATGTTATATTATCTTTCTTTACATGGAGTTTCAACTAAACAAATATATCCTAGGGCAAATTGTGACCGGCGAGATTGTTATGGCATCCGAGTCTGGTTGCCCCATCGAGCACCATCGCATCCCGGTGGAGAAATGCGACCATATGTACGATGCAGAGTGCCAGGGCGCTAAGTACATGCCCTTTTTGAGGGCTGCCTACGACCGGAACACCGGACAGAGCCCCAATAGCCCTAGGGAACAGGTAATATAACTTTTGAACGATACTTAATTTCTCAATATTTACAAAATTTAATACTTAAATCTAAAGATTTGCCTTGCAGCCTAAGAAATACTAGAAGAAATTTGACACGATCATTCAGGTTGCGTTAGCATAATTGGTCAGTGCATCCGCCCGGATAACGGAGGGTGTGGGTTCAAGTCCCGTCTACTGCCTGAACGGCGTGGAATTTTTCTAGTAAAATTTTCTTTAGATTTAACATCCAGCAGTTAAAATATACATATAATAAACTAAATATAATACTTATTTTCATATCAACTTGTATCTTTAAAAAATTGACTTCTTCATCGTCTGAAATATAATTTCTAATCATTTTATTTGTATAATTGTTTAGTTCAATAAATGCACCAAAAACTGTTGATTTCCCAAATTCATTCACCTACTATTGCAGACAGTAAGTGTCATTCGTAAAAATTAAATATTGAATATTCATACTATATTATACAATTTATCAATTCAATAATAGAAGCAAGTAGTCAGTGCAGTGTAAGCCATTATTTAGCTTTCAACTTATCGATGATCCCTTACTTGCTGTATCGAAGGGCTTCTCGTACTCAAAATTACATCCAACAAAAGCATACGCTTAATTTGGAAATAATTTAATAATTGAGTTTAGATGGTATAATTTGATTTAATATTTCAAAACCTTTTATCACTTGATTAATGAAATATACAAGTTAGGAATATATATGGACATGAAAAGACGAAGTTTTATTCAGTAATATTTTTTTAGCAGTTAATTATTTGCCAGAACAGATTAGCGTTTAAAAAAGGCCGCCAAAAAGATTCACGTTCGCCGTAAATTATTGCTATCTTATCTGTAGTTCGCTCTGCGTGTTCCAAATTAAAACGTGACTTGGCCGCAATGCACATCGAAGCCATACATACAAGTACAACTATTTTTGTTCGTTCAGGGAAATGAAAGGGGCCTTGAGAGCATCCTGCATTATCCGCTGTCATTCTTTTGTATTTTTATTTTTTGTATCGTAAGCATTCAATTTTTATTTGAGATAATAGTCTAATTACACAGTGATTATAAGTCTTAATGTTTGAAGGTAAAATGTATAAAATTTGAAGGTAGTGCTAATATATTTAATTTTAAGCATTTACCTGCTAGCTTGCTACTGCTTCAAATCAAAAGAAAATATTTACTAGAAAGAAATGAACTCGGTCGAAAAATTCCATCTGAAAGCTACACCGAGTGGATTTTTTCTAACAAAAATTTTCTTCGGTAATGCTAATAAATATATTATTTAAAAGTACACTTACGCTAGCAGTTTTATTTGAGTTTCCGGTTTTACGTAGGTTATTAATGTCTAAACAGTCTTGGAGGTATCAAATCATCACCTAGTAAGGTATTTAAATCTTGACATAATACGTTTTACCAAAATAAAATTTTACTGGAAAAAATCCACGCGGACCAGGCACCAGACGGGACTCGAACCTAAAATTTTCTGAAGATTTTAAACATCTAGCAGTAAAATGCTTAAAAAATAAAAATATAACGTTTCAATCAATAAAAGTTATTAAAACTTATCATGTTTATTTCAAACAAGTATCAAGTTTTTAACTTGTAAGGCATACCATCGTAGGAATTCTATAGACTTTTTAATAATACGCGTAAGAAGGCCGAATACCAAGCAATGAAACGTAATGGAAATACGCAACTCAACCCAGTTCCACAAACCTAGGGATGTAAACGTATCGAAAATACTAAAAAAGCGTAAGCTCTTTACTGTGTGCCTTTTAATCATGCTCAAATTTTGAAATTTCTCAACTAAAGCAGAATTGCAATGATTGGATGTACTTATTAATTATATCCTGCCTTATTTTAAATAAGGGCTTTTTGTCCAAGTATTATGAGTTAGTTTCTTACAGTACTACAGTTTTCCTTTCGAACCTTCTCGGTCTCACGGGTATATTTTTAATATTCTAGTAATCTTACAGTAGGTAGCAGATATTTGGGACACCAAACTACAGAAATTATATCAAATTATCCGCTTTATTACAATTTTTATTTATCAATATTTAAAAAGCTTACAAAAAATAAATTCATTCTTTCTTATTTAAATCTCCCAATGTTATTGGATAATGATATATCTCCCTTTTAGTTACGTATTTCTTTATTTTTAATATCATATAGGTGCCGGCCCTATACGTTGTAAATTTATGGGGATTCCGATTCGCAAAGTGTACTCTCAACCGATAGTGTTGTGTTATTAGACATGCTAATTTGTGTGTAAATACTAAGCTCGATGGGTACTATGGGTACACTTCACATTCTTCACCATTTATGTTTTTGTGATGACGTACTGTATTTAATACTACGTCGATAAAATAGCCACTTTAATTGTATAGGTTTGCTGGTTGCTGAAATGCTCATTTTTAGTAATTTATTAGTAGGGCATTTACTTTCAAGATCGATCGATTGTGATAAATGTTAAAAATATTGGTTAATAAAATGCTGATACAAAATGGTACATGAAGATAAGGAATGAGTTTGTTGACCAAGAATATTTAGGTAACTATTTTATTAAAATCTCTTTGTTTTCGACCAACACTAGGTACTCTATTTTTTTCAAAACTTCTTAATTCTCAATTGACACTTTCCATTCCCGCAATATTTTTACAAAAAAAAAAACACGAGATAGTAGTACAGTAGTTTTTTCAATACACTATAGTTTTTGCAGTAAATCTATTTACAGAACTTAAATATTTTACAGTATACTCGCCTTATTATATATGTACACTTGTTCGCAGATAAACCAAATGACATCTTGGATCGACGGCAGTTTCGTTTACAGCACTAGCGAGGCGTGGGTGAATGCAATGAGGTCATTTCAGGTGCCACCCAGCAGCCACGCCTGCATCTTTACGTACATTTCTATGCGAATATCTTAACACGTTACATAGCGCTCTAAACTTAAAACTAAATTTGAAAAGAGACTTCCATTTTCATACCCTATAGAGACAAGAATATACCATTGTCAAATTTGGTTTTAAATTTAGAATCATGTCAGAAATATACCTATTCTCAGTATGATTTAAATAAATTAAGAGCCTGATCCCTGACCTCATGATAAAATATCTATATCTTATTTAGAGATTTGCCTAAATTAACAGTGGAATTCAGTGATTGATATCGTTGTCTTTTAAAACTAAATAGCATTATCTACACTACCTACCTCTAAGATAGTACCCATTAATCACCTGAATAGGGAACTTAAGAAAATCACCTGGGACTATAAACTTAATGAATAATGTAAGCAGTAGTTTCTTTTTTGTTTAGTGAAAAAATCTAAAATATCTGTTTGTTTGTTCAAAATGCAAATAATAACTTTGTACTCGTTTCATATTATTAAGGAGTTTTATGAAATCAGACAAAGATTATCATTTCCGAAACTTCTATCACAAACGCTTTTTGTAACCCAGTCAAGTTCATTACTTTCGCATGAAACTGCATTTTGCGCCAGATATTTCCTTGCTACAAAAAAGCCTTATAGTAGAGGAGCCAAGCGGAGATTTTAGGATATACTCAAGCGCGGCAATGTGAGGACCAAGGTCCCCCCAATGCGTGCCGGGAGTGCGGGTGTGGTCGCCGCAACCGTTTCCGACTGACCGCGCACCCGCAGGTGATTGCCGGCAAGCAGACCCCACCCGTTGAGAATGCCCCGGAGCATCAGGGGTATCAACATTCAGGGAGCTTGTGCAATGTGAGCTCCTCTATCGTGGCACGTTCCTCCCTCTCCCTCGCCGGGATCCTTTCCCGGTATATTTTTAAAAGCATAAGTGCTTCCAGATCCCAGAAGGACATCCCAGCTAGGGCACATGCTGCCTCACATGACACTGTATGGTTCACCCGCGTTGCGCATATGGCCATTTCCCTCTGCGGTTGTCTTAGCTCCGTTCTATTGTCCCCACTTAGGGCATCAGCACCACCGGCGTACCGTACAGTACCATGCACCTCACTACGCCTGCGTTAAGTCTCCGGCAGTTGGCGTTAGGGCCACCCACGTTTGCAGCAACCGTCCCAATGCTGCCGCCGCACTCACCAGCCTCGGGGTTAGAAGCTTAAAATGATAGTCGAACCACCACTAGTCGTCAAGCTCCAGCCTTCGGTGCTTCAGCAGTACGGGCTCCTCATCCAACAATATCCGTTCGGTGTTCTCGCTTGCGGTCCATAAAACATTATGGCTCCGGTTTTAGAGACCGGCACGTCAAGTCCCAGCACTCGGTTTCTTGACATCACCATGAGCGCCCCCACCGTGGCCCACTGATTGGTCTCTTCGCAGTCCCTCCCCTGGGCAATAATCAGAGTATCATCTGCGTAGCAGATTACTCTTATCCGGGGCATAAGGACTCCACGAAGAGCCCAGTCGTAGCTCATGTTCCACAGGAGTGGCCCGAGGCCCGACCCTTGTAGATCGTCCCTCGAAGTAAGTTTCTATCACCCTGACCAGGTAGCAGGCGGCGGAATTTCAAAGCCACCCAGATTACCTTGTAGGGGAGAGTATTAAACGCATTTCTGATGTCTATGGACATGCGATCATCCTCTCCTCCCTGCCCACCGCCAGCTGCGACATTTTATTTACTTCCATCACCGCGTCTATGGTGGAGAGCCCTTTCCTAAACCCATACTGCAGAATAACAAGTAAAAGTCTGACGATTTGGACGCGACCAAAAGTCATGACTTTCTGTTGAATTTTTTTGCTACTTTAGATGTTGGACCTCGAATAAATCCGAAAATTCCCACTTGGGCTCCCCCTACTATCCAATATAATCAAACAATGTCCAATATTCTGCCAACAATTTTCAGCTTATGAATTATAATTACTACTATAATTTTAAATGGTAACTTATGTTATCAGCATCAGATTTTTCTTGATTTTTCCATTTTAGTTTTGACTTAGATTTCTGATTTGAGATTAAAGAGGTTTTCAGGGTTGCTTTATAATGAATTTAAATCGGCGCGTCCAAAGGTTCTTATTTTTTAAATCAAAAATTACATCTACAGAATGGCAGCCTAGCAAGTGATGGAGGTATGCCACTGAAAAATACCAAGCGTGTACCGCTTTTCAACAATCCAGTTCCACATTACATGAGGATGCTCAGTCATGAAAGATTGTTTCGTAAGTTGCTTTTACATTTTATATAAATCTAAAAATAGTATAGACACTACCATTATTTATATATGGGTATACCTACAGCCAATATGGTTTAAATAATTAAATCGATATTTAATAAATTTTGAACACGATGAAAATTTTTGTTAATTATAAATAACCATATAACACGTAAATAATTCAAGCAATTATTACACATTAGCCACAATATTCCTGTCATATATTAGTAACATAACAGCACGCTATGTCTATCTTAGGGTTGGTAGCGTATCAAAACGGCTCCACAAATACAAAGAAGAAGACCACATATGCTTTTCAGCTCAAATTATAACTCCCGTCTATAGTTATGCTCACGTTACAGTAAACCACTTCCGTGGTGTTTCTGTCGGTGAAGGTTCCCAGAGCTCCACGGCGAAAGGAATGATCGGCTTCAATACCTGATTATGATGATTCAGTGACCATGCAATCTGTTCCAAAATACCCTCTGCAATCCCGTATTGAACTTAAACTTTCTCTCGAGATTTAAACTTAATAATTTTTTTTCATTCACTAGTGCTAGGAGACCCTCGCACAAACCAGAACCCTGCGATGGTGACCTTCGGCATATTGCTGATGAGGTGGCATAACGTGGTAGCGGCTCGCGTCCACCGACAACACCCAGACTGGAGCGATGAACAGCTGTTCCAGAGAGCAAGGAGGATTGTCATCGCCAGCTTGCAGGTATTTTGTTTGTTATTAAACAAGGGTCCATTTGCACGAAACAAACCATGTGATGGTGACGTTCAGCTTCCTGTTGATGAGATGGCTTAATGTGATAGCGGCTCGCTTGGACCGACAATACCCCGACTGGGCGATGACCAGGTGGACGTTTGTTGGATTGCTGATGACACACCTCAGATTCTGGCTGTGCGTAACCAATCTTTTCATATTTATAAATACTAAATATTTAGATTTTATATTTTAAAGCTACCCAATGTAATGTTAGCGGTCTGATAATAATAAAGAGAGACGTATCACTCTAATTGATTATGTAAAAACTTGCATAAATTTAGATACCGGGAAATCCGACAGACGTGCCAGTAATAAGAAATTGTGTAAATTTTTTTCATTCAATTTATGAATAAACATGTAACACAATGCGAAGAGATGGCGTTGCCTTGCAAGTTAAGGCTGGGAAAATTTCGACGCGGCTAATAGGGCCGTGGTAGCATAATGGTCAGTGCATTCACCCGGATAGCGAAGGATGCGGGTTCGAGTCCCGTCCGCTGCCTGGTCCGCGTAGATTTTTTTCTAGTAAACTTTTCTTTAGATTTAAACATCCAGCAGTTAAATACTCAAAAAATAAATAAAATCATAACTATAATTGCTATTTCTTCTTTCAAATGTTTAATACTTGAAAAAGTATTCATTTGACATTGTGGATTACCTACAATGCGAAGAGATGGCGCTGCCTTGCAGCTTAAGGCTGGGAACATTTCGACGCGGCTAATAGGGCCGTGGTAGCATAATGGTCAGTGCATTCGCCCGGATAGCGAAGGATGCGGGTTCGAGTCCCGTCCGCTGCCTGGTCCGCGTGGATTTTTTTCTAGTAAACTTTTCTTTAGATTTAAACATCTAGCAGTTAAATGCTTAAAAAATAAATAAAATCATAACTATAATTGCTATTTCTTCTTTCAAATGTTTAATACTTGAAAAAGTATTCATTTGACATTGTGGATTACCTACAATGCGAAGAGATGGCGCTGCCTTGCAGCTTAAGGCTGGGAAAATTTCGACGCGGCTAATAGGGCCGTGGTAGCATAATGGTCAGTGCATTCGCCCGGATAGCGAAGGATGCGGGTTCGAGTCCCGTCCGCTGCCTGGTCGGCGTGGATTTTTTTCTAGTAAACTTTTCTTTAGATTTAAACATCTAGCAGTTAAATGCTTAAAAAAATAAATAAAATCATAAACATGTAATTCAATAAAATATACGGAAAAAACATTTTGAATTTAGGTCCACTTGCACCTAATTGCATAATATCGATTTCAGTAAAACTAGAATCAGCCTATACAAGGATATCAAATAGAAATTTACGTTTAGGCATTTTGGTGTGGAATATATCTAATTTAAGGTAAATTGAGAATATGCAAAGCTACTGCAAATGGATGCGACTTCATCTGTTTAAATCAAAATGTTACGAAAACTTCTACCCCCTATCACTCCTTTTTTTTAATTTAACTATGTCCATAACCATGTCCTATGACAAAATTCATCAAAATGACTACACTTTAAGGTCCTCCTTATTCTTATGAATGTGCCTAAGTTCATTAAAAAAATGAGAGTGTTTTCGTTTTATTGCATATTAATAGTATGCACCTGTCAATTTTTTTATTTGTCGCTTTTGTTTCCAGAACATTTTAATGTACGAATACGTGCCTGCCTTCCTGGGCGTGCCGATACCGCCCTACGAGGGTTACAAGGCAGAAGTGGCCCCGGGAGTGACACACGAGTTCGCAGTCGCCGCGTTCCGCTTCGGCCACACATTGGTACCACCAGCTATATTGCTGAGAGACAGAAACTGCAGATATGCGAGGGCTCCTGGTGGGCATGATGCTATCAGACTGTGCCAAACGTGGTGGGATGGAAACGTAAGTAGAAGTCTCTGTTCAAAACCCAGGGACTAAACAGAATAATTGCATGTAATTTACTTTATATTGCTTCTTAATGATTAGTCTGTTTTTTTCATTTTTAACTGTTATAATGGTCATTGCGTAAAACGATTTCTACTTTGAGAGTATGTCCAATGCAACTGCTTTCAAAGATTTTTTTTACCTTCTGAGGCCTGAATTTTCAAATGAATAACCTGTAAATACTAACAAAGACAATATTTTAATACTAGTAGTAGTTTTATGATAGTTATAATCCTTCAATCATTTGTGATAAAGAATACAGTAAATTAATTTTAATTTTAAAGCAAAGTTTTTGATAGGTACAAGCTTTTTTTTCTTTGGAATCTCCACGATGAAATGTCCGAAAAGAGAATAATGAAACGATAATTGATTAATTCTAACTGATACTAATAACATGTTTCATTTTAACAAAAAAACACGATTCATTTACTTTACCTTTTTTTCAATATCACATTGTAGGATGTGGTATCCCAAGTGCCAATAGAAGAAATACTGATGGGTATGGCGTCACAACTGTCTGAAAGGGAGGATGCACTCCTCTGCTCTGATGTACGGGATAATCTATTTGGACCGATGGAATTCTCGAGAAGAGACCTCGGCGCTCTGAACATTATGAGGGGTAGAGACAATGGCCTGCCTGACTATAATACTGCCAGGTAATTTGACAATACAGTTTAATCTTAAACAATATTAATTTTCATTTACATTTACGTTATCGTTAAAGATTGAATTTTTTTTGCATTCCAGAGAATTTTTTGGCCTACCCAAAGTGAAAACTTTTAACGAGATAAATCCACCTCTTTTTGAGAATAACCCAGATCTACTTCAGAAGCTGATACAAGTTTACGATGGGAGACTCGATAATATTGACGTTTACATTGGCAAGTTTCACAACACAATTTGTCCATTATAATAGTAAATATGTAATTGTAATAAAAACATTGCTTATTCTTGTGATTTTAGGTGGTATGCTTGAGTCGACTGGTCATCCGGGTGAATTATTCAGAGCCATAATTATGGACCAATTTACAAGGATAAGAGATGCAGACAGATTTTGGTTTGAAAATGAGAAAAATGGGTGTGTACTTGGTTATATAATAATATACCTATACTTTTACAAATCCGTTATAAATTAAAAGGATGTTATTAAAAACTGCATGTTTTCAGAATTTTTACGCCTGAAGAAATCGAAAAACTACGACACATAAAAATGTGGGATATCATAGTAAATAGTACAGCCGTTGGCCCGAGGGATATACAGAGGGACGTATTTCATTGGAGCACTAACGACCCCTGCCCACAACCCTACCAGCTCAATGCTTCTAAACTGCCGCCTTGCAAGTACCTAAAAGGATATGACTATTTCGAGGTAAGATAAACATTATTGTGTGATTGATACCTTTTTTAGCAAGCTGACAAGATTAACAGAATAATGGACAAGAAATCTGCAAAATTTGGTCACTAGGGGCGCTGTAATCGCTTGACCCAAAACTTCTATCAAATACATACTTATTAGCTTAAATTCATTTTTAAGCTTTTTATCAAATAAATTACAAATGCCACGTTGTGCTTACCGACTAAAATATAATTTTATATGTTGCTTTGAAAGGGGGGGTAAAACTGAGCTAATGTTTACATCATGGTATGTATCTCGGGCAGGTAATTACATCTGGATGTCTTCATCTTAATCAGAAAAAACTGCACCAAAATTAAAATAGCGGTCATATACCTCAAGTCTGTAAAAAAACCCAATGTTATACTTCCCATTTTAGCCAGAGGTAACCTAACTCTATGAGATGTCTGTCTGATGCAAAAATGAGATAGAATTGAATAATGAGCCTGCTAAAAGTTACTGAGATCCATGAACTATTAAAATATTCATGAAAAACGCATCTATGTGCCGAGAATGAGCATTCTAGCGTAATAATAAAAAAGAGTACCTTTCTACTGGATTAGCTTTTCTGCCTTGCTTCTCCTTTTCAACTCTGTTTTCAGCTGTATTAGAGACCATGTTCAATACATTTTCACCAATTATTTAATATATTTCACAACAAAAAAAACACGTTTAAAATATGACAGTTGCAATATTCGGCTGTGGTTAGGGTTGTGCGTTTGCAGCGCCATCTATGTCAAGCTTTGCGTATACTTCTCCATTACATAGCATGTTACAGATCAGATGTTTGCAACTTTTGTTTGTTTAATTATCAATCAACCAAATAAGAGTAGTGCTAATCTAATATTTAATAAAGCTATTAAGAATATATACATAGATGTTTAAAACCTTATGGCCAACATTTTTATTTTACTTGATAACCTTTAAATAAAACACTTTTAAACGAATTTGTACTTTACTATTTAATATTTTTAAATATTCACGACGCTTCGAACGCTTTACTGTAAACATAAGAAAAAAAAAATAAACACATTTTTTATTATCCTTTTCAATAGGGTAATGAATTTGCATACATCTACACGTGCCTGATTCTGGCGTTTGTGCCGATTCTGTGTGCCGGGGCTGGATACGGTGTCGTCAAATTACAGAATAGCCGTCGTCGCCGGCTCAAGATCCAACAGGAACATTTAAAGAATGCGCATCATAAAGGTCGGTTGGATACTTTTTATCTAAACTCAGGCGATTAAAATGAATGTTTTCAAACGTTAAACTAACTTAACCAATTTGACGAAACGTATATTGAATGTTAAGATTCAATTGACAAAAAAATCGCTAACAAGTTATAAGTCTCCGACAGAATTACTTTTTTATTAATTAGTAATTCTGAAATCGTCATAGAAAACGATATTCCTCTGCAATAAAATATTAAAAGAGGAATGATATCATCAATAAAGCAAGTAGAAATCTATAAAATAGTAGTAGTAGTTTTTGTATACTCAGCATTTGACTGCTTGATTCAGCTTGACTAAGGTAAGTTAGTAATTTCACAGTTTAGCTTTATCATTTAATTAATATTGAAACTTAGTAATAATGGGATCGGGTGTATTTTATAGCTTATATTATTTTTGTTACATCTAGGATCAGTGGATAAAATGGTGTGCCGGGAATGGGTCCACGCTTCTTTAAAACGTCTTGTTAAGCTTCGCCTAGGACCAGAACCGGCGCTTCATGTGATGGATCGCAAAGGAGATAAGTTACGAACCGTTCCACTGGACCATACCGAACAACTCACTGTTCTGGAAAGCCAGGTAAGGATGATTCAAGTATGATCAACGTCATTATTAGAATCATATCTAAATTCTCTTCTTTAAAATAAATGTAAAATTCTAATGATGATGGCAGCAATCTAGATGATGAGAAGTACTACAGATGGCTATAGTATCTTAAATTTTGATTATTTTACCTGCTCCAAATCTAGGACTATCCTTGAAAATTTGATAGAGTGAGCTCGCCCTGATTATCGCCATTGCCTCAGTATCTAGCCTTTGGTTAGTAATTTGTTCTGCGATTACGGATGTTAAGCAACTGATGCTTTCGGAAGCAAAGCTAATACTAGTATTTTAATCTCTATAATGTTGTTGTATTAAGCATTAAACTGCTAGATTTATAAATTTTAACAAAAATTTATCTCATAGAATTCCTCTCTGTCCATCCTGTCCGATGCATCTTGGACCGAATGTAATTTCTTTCTAGTAAAATGTCCTTTTCATTTACTCTAACGTCGTCATTATTTCACAGGAAGGACGCACTAATAAACGGCCCTTGGTGCTGATCCGCGCGGCGCGAGAGCACGACCTCGTACTAGAGATGGACTCGGCCGCGTCGCGACGAAAATTCCTCGTCAAGTTGGATACCTTCCTTGCGCAGCACAAGAAGGGTCTCAACCTTACTCAGGTGAAAGGATTTTTATTTTAAATCCATAGTAAATTATTGAGGTTAAATGTAACAATTACTTTAGAATATATCTCGATAATATCTTACTTCTTCTATATACGTAGGTACATTTCCATGCTCACCAACATCTGAAGTTTATGAACTCAGAGCCTCAAAAAAAATCCGAAACATGAAGCATTATTTCAAAAATCTGTTAAACGCGTTTTTTCAAACTGATTATTTAGTACTGTGGAAACTAAAAATCGTAGATATACAAATGTACCTATCACTCTAAAAGTAACTGTTAGGATTGTGTATCAAAACGCATTTGGAACCATAAAACGTGTTATTTCATTTTAGTAACAATGATTAATAAACAAATATCTTTCACCTAACCATTCGCCAATTTATTATGCCAATAATTTTTCTGACCAGGGCCATCGTGATCACATTTTAGCTACGGCTGAGACCAGAGAAAGAAGACAACGAAAACTGGAACACTTTTTCAGAGAAGCCTATGCTATTACGTTTGGTTTAGCGCCAGGAGAGAAGCGAAGAAGATCCGAGGACGCAGATCCGGAGGTATGTGTCTGATTTAACTCTAAAATTTTTAATTAAGTCTTTTACATGTTTTGTGAATTAACCTACCTAAACGTGCTAGATTTTGCATTATCATCGTTTGATCCTGATGAAGCAATTATAAATCAGAATGGATTCAGAGTTCAGACCAACCTTTTGTTTGACATATATTTTTTATTTCATATATTTTATTATTACAGATTTCGGTGTCCTAATGAATGATCATGATGTAATATTTATTCATTAGTTCTTTTTTCTTTTAGGTATTTAAGTTGCATTATTATTATCTTTAAAGCTTTTTAATATTTTCAGTCAATAGTGATGAGAACATCTTTATCAAAGAGTGAATTTGCAAGCGCTCTAGGTATGAAAGCGGACGCTGTGTTTGTTAAGAAAATGTTTAACATAGTAGACAAGGATGGCGATGGCAGGATTTCATTCCAGGTTATTTTTTGAATATTTTGAAAGTTATCTTTATAAAATTTAATATCGTATTAAAACATGCTATAATTTTAAACCTAGTTAACTGTTCAGCAGATGTGAGACTGAGATCTATTGTGTGGTTCTGTTAGAGTTAACTTCTTTAAATTTAAACAATGGCTTTACTTACTGTCTGAAGAATGGAGAATTAGAATTTTTGTCAACCATCAAATAATTGGTTTCTGCTAACATTACTTAACCACCATGACCCTACTTTACTTATTTGTATTTACTTTTTATCTAGTCAGAGCATTTACTCCATTAACTTTTGAAAAACTAAAAACTTTTTCTGAAGTACATACTTTAACAAATTTATCTCAAAACAGGAATTTTTGGATACAGTAGTATTATTTTCCCGCGGCGCTACCGACGACAAATTGCGTATCATATTCGACATGTGCGATAACGACCGTAATGGCGTCATCGATAAAGGCGAGCTCAGTGAAATGCTTCGATCCTTAGTAGAAATTGCCAGGACCACCTCATTAAGGGACGAACATGTTACAGAACTAATAAACGGCATGTTTTCGGTGAGTAATAAAAGAATATGCTAGAACAAATTATCCATACAGAAAAAGAGCTTTTAAGAGTAGATACTTTAATCTCGATGACAGGATTCAAGTTTACAAGCTAGAAGCCAGCTGGTTCCCTAGCAGGACCCGTGTCATCGGCTTTTTTACACTATGCTATTCGCCCCGTGTCATCAGATAAATCCTCTTAAAACAATTATCATCAAGAATAATTCATTCTAATTATTTAATTAGTATCAATAATTAATAAGGTTTTTAATCTTTTATAGAACACTCTCAAGAGAAGCAAAATTGTAAATTTTTAGAATTGTTTAAAAATCCTCATTATTAAATTTATTAAAGCTATTAAACTGACTGTAAGCAACTAACAGCAAATTCATTTTAGGACGCAGGCCTACAGCATAAAGATCACCTAACATATTCTGACTTCAAAGTTATGATGAAGGAGTACAAAGGAGAATTCGTTGCCATTGGATTAGATTGTAAAGGAGCTAAACAAAACTTTTTGGATACCTCAACCAACGTCGCGCGTATGACCAGCTTCCATATAGAGCCATCTATGGAATCATCTAGGTAAATTAATGGTTGCAGTCTTGGATTATATTACGTGTAATAAATAATAATCTTCCCATTAGGCCTAAAATATTTTCCATTACAATCCCAGTTTTCTTGCTCTTAACTGTGATGTTTTTCCGACTACCAGTATTCGTTTCAGATACTTAATAACTTTCCACTGAATACCATAACCTTTTGTCCCTGTAGAAATACCCAGCTGTTCCATTTTTCTTCAACACAATAAATGTCAGTATCGGCTCATTATTTACTAATTTGAGAAGATCCTAAGATTTTTTATAATATTATCTTTTGTTATTTAAACATGTACTATTAATAGAAATTCCTTTTAGACACTGGCTCCTTCTAAAATGGGACTATTTAACCACGTTCCTGGAAGAGAACAGGCAAAATATATTCTATCTGTTCGTGTTCTACGTTGTCACCATCGGCTTGTTCGTGGAAAGATTCGCTCACTACTCCTTCATGTCTGAACATTTAGACTTGAGGCATATCATGGGAGTTGGAATCGCAATCACAAGAGGATCCGCCGCTTCATTGTCCTTCTGCTATAGTCTGCTTCTGTTGACGATGTCGAGAAACTTATTGACAAAGTTAAAGGTAAAATTTAATTTATATGTTTTTCTTATTAATCCAAAATTTTCACTTACTTTTGGGCTAATATATGATTTTCTAATGAGTAATTACAAGTTACATATATATATTTATATATTACTGGCCTTTTGTAGCATTCAAGTGCAGGCTACACTCGAATAGTTCAATAGGTCAGTAATATTTATGGCTGCAATGTGCAGCCATAAAATAATAATTATATCTCGACACAAAGAGTCAAATACTGTTACTGGCGTTAATGGATAATTTTATATCTTTTGCATATCTTATCATTATCCTCGAAAAGACATTTTCAAAGTAGGTAACTTCCTTATTTATAACACGTTTTATTAGCTTCACCGGTCAGAGGTCGACCTGTATGTTATTCCTTTCTCGGTGTGGATTCCAAAAATTTAGTTACATTTTCGCACAAATTTGAATATAACACGTGCCCGAGCATCGTTATAACGGATACGGGGATTTTCCACCTTCAAATCGGAATGACTAAGGAGATCGTGTCACACATCACGTCTGTAGAATCACGGTCATACTTTGGTATGATCTACATTGAGATTGTCATAACAGTTACTTTTGAATGAGATATTAGTGTAGGTAGCTGCGAAACTGCTGTTACTTAGTTAAAATTTACTGACAGAGTTGTAATGTTGTTTTCTTCCGTATACGAATAGTAGTGAGATTTTGATGACTCATTATCACACTGTAAATGAATACAGACGAGTTTGATAAACCATATTATTATACAATACTATGGCAGGGAACTGAATTGGAGTCAGCTGCCCATCCCGTTTACAGGCATGCTAGAATCAAAATAATTACTAATATATACTGATATAGTTCTTCTTAACTAAGTTTGCATTCGTATTGACAGGAATTTAGCATCCAACAATACATTCCACTGGATTCAAGCATCCAATTTCACAAAATAGTTGCTTGCACCGCTTTGTTCTTCTCGCTGCTCCACACCGCGGGACATATGGTGAACTTCTACCACGTGTCAACGCAACCTGTTGAGAATCTGCGTTGTCTTACCAAGGAAGTGCATTTTACTTCCGACTTCCGTCCCGGCATCACTTACTGGGTGTTCCAGACAGTTACAGGTATCGTGTTGCGTTATTTTTATCTCGTTTTTATTAATAGGTTGATGCGAGAAATTATTATAAAAATGTGTGAATTATACGTTGATGACTGATAGAAGAAAAGAAAGAAAAACTAAGTGCTGCATTACATTAACCCAAGTTAAAATTGAAAATTAAAACACAAAGGTCAGCCGAGTCTGTTAAATCCTATCCTATCTTCCCTTTTGCATCGGAAAACAAGTATCCCATTAGAAAATAATTTAATTTCAGACAAGTAATTTATACAAAAAGTTACCTGCTTTTTGTATTTCTGATAAATTTCGTGCAGTTTGGCTTACTTTTTTAAAGGTGTGACTATTCTAATTGTACCTAGGTGTGAGCGGAGTATTGTTGTTCATAATAATGTGCATCATCTTCGTTTTCGCTCATCCCACGATCCGCAAGCGCGCCTACTCTTGGTTCTGGCGTGCGCACACGCTGCACGTCGCCTTGTACGCCTTGTGTCTCGTGCATGGCTTAGCAAGGCTGACCGGCGCCCCACGCTTTTGGATCTTCTTCATTGGACCTGCCATCATTTACACCCTAGATAAGGTAAGATTTCTATAGTAAATATAGGTTGTTCATAATTATTTGCATCATCTTCGTGTTCACTTATCCCACGATCCGCAAGCGCGCCTACTCCTGGTTCTGGCGCGTGCACTCGTTGCACGTCGCCTTGTGTGCCTTGTGACTCGTGCATGTCTTAGCAAGGCTCACCGGTACCCCACGTTTTTGGATGTTCTTCATCGGACTTGCTATAATTTTCACTCTAGATAGGGTAATATTTGTATAGTAAAATTAGGTTGTTCATAATAATGTACCTTCGTTTTCGCACATCCCACGATTCGCAAGCGAGCATATTCTTAGTTCTCGCACGCGCACTCGATGCATCTCGTGCCGCCTTGACCGCCTTGTACCTCGTGCCCAGCCTCACCAGGCTCACCGGTGCCCCACGATTTTGAATCTTCTGCATGTGACCTGCCATCATTTACATTCTAGAAATTTAGTAAACTTGTTACAATTGTCAAAGGTGTGAACGGACATTAAAAATTAACAACATTAGAAACTTAGTAAATAACAACATCACATGCTTGTGAATCTTCTTCTTTATTGGGCCTTCCATTATTTACATTATAGATTCGATAATACTTTTGTGGGCAAACTAGATACAGTCACAAAAAGGCTAATTTAAAAAATCAAAAAACCCGTCTGCTTAGAAATTACTGGATACGGTCACAAAAAAACAAAAGTTAAAAACAGACATTTGTAAATACACAGCATTGGGAACTTAGTGCATATTCAGCGTACTAAATAAGCCAAAAGTATAAAATTGTGCACTGGACTACAAGATGTCTTTTTTTCCAGGTGGTTTCACTCAGAACAAAATATTTAGCTCTAGATGTACTAGAGACGGAAATGCTCCCATCGGATGTTATCAAAATAAAATTCTACAGACCACCTAACCTTAAGTATTTGTCGGGTGAGTGAGCTACTTTCATTTAATTTATTATTATGGGCTTGAACGTTTTGAGTTCAAGTATAATAGTAATAAAATGAAAAAACGTAAGAAGCAATTAAGATTTTGTTAATTATTATCAAAAGCATTTTGAACGTTCACCTAGATTTGGTTAGTTCGTTTTTATATAAGTAAAAACCGTCATCTTAATCGACACAGGTCAGTGGGTTCGTTTAGCGTGTACGGCATTCAAAAAGGAGGAGTTTCACTCCTTCACTCTGACATCAGCCCCTCACGAGAATTTCCTCTCATGTCACATCAAGGCTCAAGGGCCGTGGACTTGGAAGCTTAGGAACTACTTTGACCCTTGCAATTATAATCCTGAAGACCAGCCACAAATCAGGTGAGATAATATTTCATTAATTAAAAGGTATGTAGAGAATTTATACAAAACAAAATAAGAAAATTCAAAAGATCATTTGTGAAAGGACATTAAATTTATAACAGTAAAAAGCCTGTTTGCTCTGCAATAAAAAAAAAGAACATCGAATAGTTGACTTCAACTTATTAAATACTGTAGATGTCTTTTGAATTCCGTTAAAATGTTTCTTGCAATTGATTGCGAGTTGAATCGCCATCAAAAATATGAAATTCTTCGCAAGAAGTCTGAAATTCGATCAAAATATGTCAACTTTAGAGTAGAAAATATTACAAAATAGTTATTGTGACCATCTTTTTGCAATAAAACATTTATTTTGACATCGTTTCTAACCGTAGGAGTAAGTAAATGAGTCAACAATTTTGAACGTTTGAAACAAGCATTTTACTCCACGATTTCTGACAAAATAAATGGAAAAAGTGAAACTATCTGTGAACTTAACAGCAATGTCACAAAGAGTTTCTAAAAAATTAAATAAGTAGTTAAGCCTTAAATGATTTCTTCACATTTTGTACGTACGGACAGTTGCATCAAGCCATATTATATCATAAAGTTGTACCTGACATACTCACGTTTTAAAAGAATTTCACCTCGCTGACCTTAGTAATAACCCTAACACATATTTTATATTTGTCCATACATATTGACCGATCTATAAGTATTACTCAACTTAATTGATGACTCGTGTTTTACACCGCTCGCTAATTTAAACTTAATGTTGACACAGCTAAGTTTAATTGGGTATTGAACTATTTTATCAATTGATTTGTTTTAATATTAGACAGTTAATAACGCAATACTTAATTTTGTGTTATGCTCCTGAATGCTTGTGTAAGTAACCATGTTAAATATACTGAATTATGATAATGATTATTTTAGGACTTCAAGGAATTATTTATGCGAAATGCGATCAATGAACGTGTCTCTGAGTCAAAAAAACTGTCTACGTTTTCTATTGATAAGTAGTTTGGTTGGATCACATGGGTTTTTTTTGTTGACGCTGATTTTTTACCCGAACACGACAAACCCAAAAGGAAAGAATAATGATTTTAATCGTCTGTTTGTATGTTTCACCGTAGCGGCTAAACTAATGAATAGATTTTGATGAATGAGAAATCAATTGATTCTAGATTGAAGCAATGTATATAATATAAATATGTATACAGTTAAATAATTGGAGATCTAATAAAAACCTCATTTGATATCAATGAAAGAGATCTTTGATTTAGAATTTTATGATTACTATAAGCTATCTAACGACAATAAATGTAATATTTTAATAAATAAATAAATATTTCCAACACTCACACCAATTAGTCTAACCCTAAAGTAAACTCGTATTCATCATACAAACATCTGCCCCCACCGGGATTCGAACCGGGGACCTCTCGAGTCGTCGATACCATGAAACCCGGCGTACAAACCACTCGGCCACGGAGGTCGTCAAATTTTACGTTGGTTGGGTTTTTTATTATTTGATGCTAATTGCAATAGAATGTTTTGGTACTGGCAATTTTTACAATATCATTTTCATTTTCATTTTTTAGGATCAGAGCAATGTAACTATGTTTGGTTGCCCATAATTTTTCCTTTTACTATAATCAAGCAATGTTTCATTAATGTCTTCGGGTTACATCTTTTGGGATCAGAGCAATGTATGTAAAGTCCAACATGTTTCCTTTTACTTTGACTAGGATCCAAGGTCCGTTCGGCGGTGGCAATCAGGATTGGTACAAGTTTGAGGTCGCAGTGATGGTGGGAGGGGGTATCGGCGTCACGCCGTACGCGTCCATCCTCAACGACCTCGTATTCGGCACCTCCACTAACAGATACTCTGGCGTTGCTTGTAAGAAGGTAGGCATCCTCTGGAATATTGTGGGCAGGGTACGGACTTTTGCAGTTATGAATGTCATTCACTTTATACCTTAAAGTAACAGTAATACCTACACATAGTAAACATTTAATTTCAATATAATGGATATCACTGTGAGTGAAGGTTGGGACTTCTACAGTCATGTATGTCAGTCTTATTAGAATTTCTATAGATAAATTAATAGCTACACAAAGTTAATTCTTAAATTCAACATAATGGTCGTTAGTTAATAACCATGTCATCAAAAGATTTTACTTATATCTTTTTCGCCTGTGGTATGGAAATAAAACTTTTAATGATCATTATGAACTTTGGAACTATTTACTTCTCTGTAGATTCTACAACACTGTATTTAGAATTTTTAATAATAATAGTTTATAGTTAATTGCTTATAAGTTATTGTTTTACATTTAGATAACTGTCAGATATATGTAAATTATCATCAAAGAATTGTTATTGGTTACCAATTGTATTTATATGTAATCATTTATTATATATTGAAGATCATTTAAATATTTCCCGTTTCCTTATTGTTAAGTGTCGCAGGTTAATTTCCGAGGATTTGTCATTATTCTTTATATTTTGTAGGTGTATTTCCTATGGATATGTCCATCGCACAAACATTTCGAGTGGTTCATAGACGTACTTCGCGATGTGGAGCGTAAAGACGTCACCAACGTTCTCGAGATACACATCTTCATCACGCAGTTTTTCCACAAATTCGACCTCAGAACAACAATGCTGGTAATGATAATAAATAATGGCCAAGTTCAACTTAAAATACTTTAAAAACTCTTGCTCATTCTTTGCATGGAAACGATAAAGATACCTTAACATCATTTTTGAAATTCCGTACCCAAAGGAAAAAGCTGAGATAAAACTGATAAACTATTTTCGACTGCTGGAGCTGGTTCGAACCCCGCAAGGATTTCCAAAGATTGCAGTGAAATAAAATTAACTTTTGTTGGTGCTTTGTTTCTGTCGATGAGTAAGGTTTCAGTTCCCCGGGTAGGGCTAAGGTAACGCAATCGTTCATTGGCTATGTTGTCCACTTATTATCAGGCGAATATGTAAAAAATTATAATACATTTAGGTAATTGGTATTATTTCTGGTACAGTACATCTGCGAGAATCACTTCCAACGACTTTCTCGTACCTCCATGTTCACGGGACTGAAGGCCGTGAATCACTTTGGTCGCCCTGATATGTCGTCGTTCCTTAAATTCGTGCAGAAGAAGCACAGCTATGTAAGTACCTAAATTTACTTCAACTAGAAACCTTACATTTGAAAATATCCTCGACAATGTTAACTGGTTCTAAACAAAAATTTGAAAACTTTGGAGTACTTAGTGGTGAATGTAAAAAAATAAATCATTCCGATCTTAATATCAGAGCAACGCAATGAACGTATCTGTAACAATTTGTACTTCTAACATTTAGTTAGTGTTTTTAATTTTATTACCTGAATTCTTAGAGATATTGGTATCTTTTGTAAAATACCGTTATCTGAAAAATTTACATTATATCGAGTAAAACTTTAAAGTTAGCTGAATCAAATTTGAAAAGTCAATAGGTATCTAATTATTACACAAACTATTCGTAAATTTCTTACCTACACTTAAATTTCCTAATCAATCAGAATATATTTAAAAAGTACTCCGTTCCTGGTAACAGTTCAATCAATATTTAAAATGTATTTTAAGAGTCTTACTTTGTTTATATGCTTATGTGTCATAATCATAAATAACTTTAGATACAAATTGACTCTGGTGGAATTTTATTTAATTGCAAAAGTTGTGATGTATTAAAAGCTTTGAGCATAAATTTACATGATTAAACATAATGATCCCTCCATAACGTTTTAATGATTTTACTGCTACTAGTTTTTCATAAGATATATATCAATTAAAGAAAAATAATTACTAACTCATACTTTGTGGTAAGCCGTAAAGTTTTAGCTACGTTAATTGGTAATTAATATTCGATGTGGAAATTCAACTTATCTTCAAATAATAACAGGATTCACATTTGCCTTGCATTCTTATGGCTCACGCGAAGGAGTGTGCTGTAAGTATGCAATACAATACAGTTTATTTTTTATGTTGCATTTATTTGATATGGCAACTTAAAAATTAAACTGCATATTTAAAAAAATTTTCGCTGTTACTTTGATAGCCATAATATTTAATAGATGTTTCTGATTGTACTGATCAGTAACGCATGACAGCACATTGCTTTTGTTCTGGAAAATTTTGACCTCTATGTTAACTTTTAATATAATATTTTTAAGAAAATAAAACTTATAATTTTCATAAAGGTCTCTAAAATTGGCGTTTTCTCGTGCGGTCCAAGGCCGCTCACCAAGTCCATCATGTCAGCGTGCGAGCAAGTCAACAGGACCCGCCGGCTGCCCTACTTCATACACCACTTCGAGAACTTCGGATAGAACAATTCATATTACTACAACAATACCATCACCATCGTTTACCATATTGTTACCTGTCCCATATGAGTTATCAATCATATTATCTCTTTCGTCTAAATATTTATTACCATCACTTTTGGTGTTTAGTTCTATGAACAAAATTATGATTTACTAATCATCATTTTGTTAGCATTAAAATTAACAGTTTTAAAATTATCGTTCATATCAAAAACGTAAGCAGAAAGTTTACGGATGAATAAGTTAGTTTATGAACCTTAATCTATCAATGTTTTGCAATAAACAAGTTCCATTTATTCATTTTTTTTTTGGTTATTTAGTCATTAATTATGTTACCAATAGTGACTTTTAGTAAAATTGTTTCAATTTATGATAGGTGATAGGACTGATGATCAATTTATGGCATGTATTTGCCTACACCGAGTAAGAATTGTAATTAATCAACGAGGAGCATTCATAAAATATTTTTCGTTGCAATGATATTAGAACAAATATTGTCAATGAAAAAAAAATGAGTTTTTAATTTGTACTTGTATGTTTTTGTAAATTATTTTTACTTTAATAATTTTGTATTTTTTTCATATTCACTGCAGTTTTTAGTACAAATACATCAACTAGGCATTTCAATGTACAAACCTATTTGGTTTTTTCGAATTTGTATATTAAGTGGAAATTAACCAAATACTCATTGCGATCTAAACCACGTTCAAAACAATTGTATTTATATTAATTTTACATTTATTAAGAATAAAATTATTGTGTAAATATAATGTAAAAATATAGACAATTGGCTAGTATAATTTTACGATCGAGTTTTTATTAATATTACTTGTAAATAGGTATTTAATAAATTTTGTTCCAATTTATACTGTATTAATGCCCTTCTGGGTTTAGTTCCCATCATTGCTTGGTAAGTAAATATCAAAAGTGTCTTGGAATCACTTACGTAATTGACATAGGGTTCATTTCTCTATTTTTTTTTTATTATTTATTATTATATAAACGAATTAAAGTAAAAAGTCAATGAAGGAGGCTGATTAAAAGTGTGTAGATAATTTTTATTGCAAGATAATTACTCTATTCTTAGACACTTTTCGTGTGTATGTTACATGCAATCTGTATTATGCGGTATTCTATACAAGACCTAGGCAATGTATGGAATGCCTAAAACGTCCAGGTAATATGAAATATTAAGCATTTTATACTTTGCTATTCTATACAATGCCAAATGCGTAATGGCCAGTGTATGTATGGCTTTTTTTTTAAATACAATATAATATTTAAGATATTCCATTCATTGCCTAGACGCCCCAGGCATTTTAAACATTGCCTAAGTATTGTATAGAATTTCTGAATTATATAGATTGCCGGTAACATATAAAAAGAAAAGAGTTTCTTCCATCTGGTACTAAGACACCGTGTCTTTACATACGTTCTCCTACCCTTCAATAGGATCTTTAAAACATTCATTCTATAATGGCATTGCAATCCTAATAATAATTTAAGACAGACCTTAAATATCAGCTCTCAAATTGTTTATGGACAGTGATTTGCGGGCGTCATAATCCGAAGTAAAAGGCGAGGACAACAGCCTTGCTTGTTCGCTACACACGGCCGTGGTAGTCGGCAAGCTCTGAGCTCGTCAAGAGGCCAACCAATAGCTTAAGCTGACTCGCGATGACCTAGCATGTTTTTTATAAAAAACGCTATACCACCCCTTAACATGCTTACTAAAATAAGTTTAAAAAATTAATAAAAAAAACCCGGACACGAGAAAACCGACCGCTAAGTGAAGAAGATTAAAAAGGAATTAAAAGAATGGACATTGTTTTTTCGGTACTTAATTATTCACTTACGTAGTACGTTTACGAAGTAGATCTTTATAATCCATACTTTAACATTACCTACTAATAGTATTCCTTCTAGTTTAATTTTATTTACATAATGGCACACTGACGTGACGATGCTCCTTTCAAAAAAATTCATTTTTTTTTTAATTAATGGAGAGTTATTCTTTTATATCAAGGGTTTTTTAAAATTTATAATTTTATTTTCTTTTTATTAATTTTTGAAGTTATACTTCTTTAGCCGCGTTATGAAAAAATTATGAGAGGGTGAAATTTTCATCACTGTAACACAAAATTTTAACATAATGAAGTTAGCCGCGGGCGCGTTATTTGTAATATTTTATTTTCCAAGTGACCGTGGGGCAGATTTGAACGGGACATTGAAATGAAATGTAATGAAATGAAATGAAATGAAATGAAATGAAATGAAATGAAATGAAATGAAATGAAATGAAATGAAATGAAATGAAATGAAATGAAATGAAATGAAATGAAATGAAATGAAATGAAATGAAATGAAATGAAATGAAATGAAATGAAATGAAATGAAATGAAATGAAATGAAATGAAATGAAATGAAATGAAATGAAATGAAATGAAATGAAATGAAATGAAATGAAATGAAATGAAATGAAATGAAATGAAATGAAATGAAATGAAATGAAATGAAATGAAATGAAATGAAATGAAATGAAATGAAATGAAATGAAATGAAATGAAATGAAATGAAATGAAATGAAATGAAATGAAATGAAATGAAATGAAATGAAATGAAATGAAATGAAATGAAATGAAATGAAATGAAATGAAATGAAATGAAATGAAATGAAATGAAATGAAATGAAATGAAATGAAATGAAATGAAATGAAATGAAATGAAATGAAATGAAATGAAATGAAATGAAATGAAATGAAATGAAATGAAATGAAATGAAATGAAATGAAATGAAATGAAATGAAATGAAATGAAATGAAATGAAATGAAATGAAATGAAATGAAATGAAATGAAATGAAATGAAATGAAATGAAATGAAATGAAATGAAATGAAATGAAATGAAATGAAATGAAATGAAATGAAATGAAATGAAATGAAATGAAATGAAATGAAATGAAATGAAATGAAATGAAATGAAATGAAATGAAATGAAATGAAATGAAATGAAATGAAATGAAATGAAATGAAATGAAATGAAATGAAATGAAATGAAATGAAATGAAATGAAATGAAATGAAATGAAATGAAATGAAATGAAATGAAATGAAATGAAATGAAATGAAATGAAATGAAATGAAATGAAATGAAATGAAATGAAATGAAATGAAATGAAATGAAATGAAATGAAATGAAATGAAATGAAATGAAATGAAATGAAATGAAATGAAATGAAATGAAATGAAATGAAATGAAATGAAATGAAATGAAATGAAATGAAATGAAATGAAATGAAATGAAATGAAATGAAATGAAATGAAATGAAATGAAATGAAATGAAATGAAATGAAATGAAATGAAATGAAATGAAATGAAATGAAATGAAATGAAATGAAATGAAATGAAATGAAATGAAATGAAATGAAATGAAATGAAATGAAATGAAATGAAATGAAATGAAATGAAATGAAATGAAATGAAATGAAATGAAATGAAATGAAATGAAATGAAATGAAATGAAATGAAATGAAATGAAATGAAATGAAATGAAATGAAATGAAATGAAATGAAATGAAATGAAATGAAATGAAATGAAATGAAATGAAATGAAATGAAATGAAATGAAATGAAATGAAATGAAATGAAATGAAATGAAATGAAATGAAATGAAATGAAATGAAATGAAATGAAATGAAATGAAATGAAATGAAATGAAATGAAATGAAATGAAATGAAATGAAATGAAATGAAATGAAATGAAATGAAATGAAATGAAATGAAATGAAATGAAATGAAATGAAATGAAATGAAATGAAATGAAATGAAATGAAATGAAATGAAATGAAATGAAATGAAATGAAATGAAATGAAATGAAATGAAATGAAATGAAATGAAATGAAATGAAATGAAATGAAATGAAATGAAATGAAATGAAATGAAATGAAATGAAATGAAATGAAATGAAATGAAATGAAATGAAATGAAATGAAATGAAATGAAATGAAATGAAATGAAATGAAATGAAATGAAATGAAATGAAATGAAATGAAATGAAATGAAATGAAATGAAATGAAATGAAATGAAATGAAATGAAATGAAATGAAATGAAATGAAATGAAATGAAATGAAATGAAATGAAATGAAATGAAATGAAATGAAATGAAATGAAATGAAATGAAATGAAATGAAATGAAATGAAATGAAATGAAATGAAATGAAATGAAATGAAATGAAATGAAATGAAATGAAATGAAATGAAATGAAATGAAATGAAATGAAATGAAATGAAATGAAATGAAATGAAATGAAATGAAATGAAATGAAATGAAATGAAATGAAATGAAATGAAATGAAATGAAATGTCATTTATTATTAATTTATTGTAATTAATTATTTGTATGAAATTAAAAACTAATTTTAAACGATGCCAAAGAAGGATAACTTCTCACGCGCCTACATAAGTACACGCACCCATTTTTTAAATAAGTCGCGGACCTAGTTTCGTAATATAAATAAACGATTGATACTATTTATTACTGTTGTAGAGTTTGGTAGTGTACCAATACAGTTATACAGTTTTAATCTATTTTTTTTTATCTTCGCTAGGACTTCTTATGTCTAATATTTTGTTTTTAAAAACATGATTAAGTTATAATTGCCTTTGATTGTTTTTTGTTCACTTAAATTATTGTTGGGGATTAATTACCAAGAAAATTAAATCTAAAGAAAATTTCACTAGAAAAAATCCACGTGGGCAGCAAACAGGACAGAAACAAAAATTCTTTGAATTTAAACATCTAGCTGTTGAATGCTTTAACAAAATAAGAAAATAATAGGTTGGGGGGAAAAGTCTTTACGCATTATAGTATATATATATGCACTTGTAATAAAATCTATTTGGCTATACCATTTGTATCTGGCTGCTTTTGGTGTGATTACAAAGTTAAAATTTTATAGAAGATAATTCCAAATTTTATTTAGAAAAATGTGTTATTTTCATTTGTTTTTCTTACCGCCAAGATCAGTGAATCTAACACACAAATTCGATACATTTTAAAATTTTACTACAAAAATGGTAAAATGCAATGCAAGCCGTGAAAAAAAAAATGTTTTTGGACCTAGTGCAGTGTCTGTAAGAATTGCACAATTTTGGTTTAAGGGTTTTGTCGTTTAGCGACAAAATAAATAGAAAGAAAAAGAGTAAAGGAAAATCAGAAGAACAGTATAGAATATATGTATATATTTACAAGAATAAAGTATTTACAGCAATAGAATATAAAAAATAGGGGTATGGTGAGAGTGTGTGAAGTGTGGGGTGTGAAGTAAGTAGTGTAGTGGGCGCGGGTCGTAGGCGATCTTCTGAGGCGGCTTGAGGGTCTGGAGGACGTGCTGCTGGCGAACGGGCGCTACTCCTGGGAGGCTGAAGCGCTCCTGGTGTGGTGTCTCCCAATTCTTGGCCTGCCTTGCTGGTGGCTGGCAGGCGCTGTTGGTAGGTTGGCCGGCGAAGTGGCAGTATCGGCCGGTACCGAGGTAGAAATACTGGAGCTGCTGATAGACGGCAGGGGCAGCTGGTAGACGGACAATGAAGCTGGAGACCGGGCGGCACTCCCGCCGATGAGGTTGAAAGTATGGTGAAGAGGACGAGTAAAGTTTAGAGAGCCAATAGGTGCTGTATAGCTTTGAGGTCTTTTCTTGAGTCCCGGGGCAGCCGGTCCCGGGACAAGGCCTTTTAGTAGTTTAGAGCTCGGTAGCGAGCTAACAAACTTTTGTTTTATAATAACTTTATTATGGCAACTTTTGCCGAAGAAATGATGATAGAATTTTATAGGTCCGGAACCATTTAAAAAGACACGATACGAAT